CACACACACATATACATATATATATGTACACCACTTTTTTTCTTGCTTAATTCTTTTCCCCATCCATGTTGCCAATGAATCTTGACATCCTTACTGTAACAGTAAGAGAACAACTGACACATCTTTAAGGAGATCTTTGTAATCTCTAAGATCAGTTGTATATGTAAAAAACCCCCAACCCTACCTCAGAAAAACACAGTGAAGGACTTGGAAATGCCTGCTTTGTAATACTTGCTCCATCTAACTTAATAAAAATCCATTTTGTCTTTATATTGCTTGTCTGCATGGGATCACAGACAGGCAATGTATTTATTATGCCTTGAAAAGCACAGGCAATTCAGACTTAAAGACACTACATCTGAGCGAAACAAACACACAAACAAACAATAAACAACTCCCTCTCACAAAAAGGCACCAGGGAAGGAAACTCTTTCTTCCCCCTGCAGTCAAAAGATTCCTTACAGCATGGTAAGAAGACACATCTTTCCCTGTCTCAAAGGACTAGTCCCCAACAGCAAACAGAAAATTTACAAAGAAATAATTAGTAACTGCAGTCAGTGCCTTGTTGTTTTATTATTACTTTTTTCTTGGTAATGTCATAATTGGTTGGAGATTTCCAAGTTTACATGCTTTGATAAAGGAGGACTTTCAATTTTGCAGCCAGTCCTACAGCAGAAAAACAGTAGCATTCTGTGCAGCTTTGGAATCCAAAAATACACAAATGGGAGCACTTCATTTGGTAACATGACTCCCTCAGCACAGAAACTACACTCACTGAGGTAAATATAAATAACTAGGTAAGAAGACAGACATGACTTGAGATGACTGTACTGTATTACAGATGACTGATCTTGTGGATGCCTTCTACACTGAATCATTCACATGTAGAAATATTTTCAGCGATACCTGAAATGCTTCAGATTTAAAATTTAGCCTCTATCCTATCTATATATCCTCTGCTTTTCAAAATACAAGACTCGCCAGTAACACATGACATCCACTTGTTCACATTTCATTTAAACTTTTAAAAAAGCACCAATTTTCTAAACAATTGTACATGATCCTCAAGTCAGATGCACTTTGTAAGTGATTACACAAGATGCAAAGAGCTGATTTTAAGTTATCTGATTTCCCAGAAGTGTTGTCATTTGAAACAAAGCAGAACCTGAAAACTATTCTCTGCTGTGAACAGGATGATGTATTATACACATTTAGAAAGTACTCACAATATTTTTAAAAGGTTTTTAATTTATTTTTATATGGTCCAGTAATAGAAGGATGGATAATTAACATTTGTTACTCAGGAAATTGAGCTATGTAACATAACACCCTGCAATAACGGAGAAATGTAAGTATTAGCTCTTCATTACAGCAAATTAATAACCCTACCAGTTTTAAATACTGAAGGACAACTATGATTAAAAACCAGGTGTGTAGTCACTAGTAACAATTTATTTCTTCACTTTGCAGATTCTCAGATGCAAATAAAATTCCTAGTAATGGTTTCCAGTACAAACACCAGGTATCTAACTTCTAAAGTCAGAGAAACACAGAGGTACCTTATCAACCATAATTATAAAAAAAAAAAACCCACAACCCAAAACACCCCCCTCCCAAACCCAAAAATCCACACAACACCACCACCCAACAAACCCAAACTCCAACAAAACACAACCAACACACCAATACCACAGGACACTTTAAATATAATACTACATGCAAAACTTACCTGAACACTTCCCTAACCCCATGTTACTAGACAACAAAAAAATTTATGTAACACTGTAGTAGTTTCACAAATATGGTCAAAGGAATGCCAGAACACTCTGGGTTAATAAAAATTCTGGATAATAAAAAAAACCCCTAAAAGCTTACAAATGAAATACACTACTATATACTACTATATATAGTCTATGCTGTTAACACTACAAAATCACAAATGGCACAGCAAAGAAATAAGTTAATATAAGTATTTGTGGTTTATGTCATGTCTTTTCAATACTCTATATCAGTGTCTAATTGCTGGTTTTGTTCACTCAAATTCACGTTAATGCATCAGTCTGTATTTGATGTCATAACACATTCCCCCAGTGACAAAATCCAAATCAAATTATTTATGTAGAAAACAAACAAGTCATTGCACTTAGCCCATGCACAAGGTGCTCTCTCTTCCCAAGCAATTTTTTGCTAATGAAACCTCAGTTCTCTGCATCTGTAATGCTCAGGGTGGGGGAGAGGGGACTCAAATATTATTGATTAAACTGTATAAAGAATTTCAAAATAAAATTGCACTTACATCATAACTATAGTCTGCATCATTTGTTACTGTCAAGTCTGCAAGGTCTCCAAGGCCCAGTACACTTAACAACACATCATCAGAACCCATAATAAATGACTTGCCTCCTCCAGGTGGAAATGTTATTGGCTCAGCTACAAAGAACAAAACAGTTTCTTTAAGTCTCAATGTAATAATTGAAACTGATGAAAAGCTGCATTATTCATCACTTAACAGGAAAGCAGAGTTTAAAACTGAATTTGCATGTACTACACACTGTCCCAACAAAAAAACCAAGAGCATGAAGACACGCACACATGTGCAAACACACACACATTAAATACACAATTCTTATATCACACTTTGTCATTTGATTTCGACTTACTTTACAGAGGTGTTCAGTATTACTGACAAGTGACTTGACTGACATTACCTTACATTGCAGTATCAAATATAAGTCCCAGGTCTCCCAATTCTCAGCTAAGTACTTTATTCACTACACCATGCTTCCTGCCTTCCATCCACTGCAAGTAAGTCTGTGCTTTATACTAGTCAAATACCTCTACTTGTATGTGTAAGTACATTTTATCTCTCAGGCAAGAGACTCCTGCAAAGCATCTCTTCTACTCTTTTTTCATATGATTTAAATAATGAAAACATCTATTATTTATTCATTTCCTCTCTTAGGTTTTTGGCATGATTTTGGATTCTAATTTAAAATACACTCGACTTAGCCAGCCATGCCTTCCCCAAACTAAAATTTAACATATCTGTCAATTATCTTTTAGACTGCACCCAAGTTACATATAACCATTCATTATGAATTCACATCTGAATAATAAAGTTCAAATATTCACCCACATTCTTTATACTCTTCAACAATTCTGTAAATCTCCCTCTACCTGCAAATATTAATTTAGCAGCAAGGAAAAGGAATGAAAGCTTAAATACTGTAATGCTTTGGCATATTTTAACAGCTTTTACTTCTCAGTATTCCTTTCCATGTAGAAATTGCTTGTTATGTAGAGTATGTAAAATTAAGCTATGTGGGAAATTTAGCTAAGTATAAACATCTGCAAAATATGTTAAACATCTGACATCCTGAAAAATTAAACTTGCGAATTTCATTTGTCTGGCAGAGCCTTATGGTCTCACTTTAACATCACCCTTTGTTTATAATCCTCTCAGAAAACCTTTGAAACTGAGAGAAAAGAGTTTCCAGATGTGACAAACATCCATACCCTGGCTTTTGTCTTATAGAAGTAGTTCCCAACTAGAGGACTAATAATCATTATATTCTTCTTTTGAACACACACTTTCACTACTCCATATTGCTGCTATCTGAATAGTAACCTACTTATGTTCCACTCCTGGAGACAAGTACCCAAGACCAGGTGTGAAGTTACAGATGTCTGGCATCATTGCTATGGCTACACAAAGAGGAGCCAAGTCCAGTTAGATCAAAAAAGCCACTTCTCACAAATAAAACTAGTTCTAATGCTTAAGAACTACTGTACTATTAAGAAATGTAACCTTAGCACAGCCAACACAATGGTATGTGAGAATCTAAGAACATGATCTATGTAAGAAAAAAGATTGCTGTTCCTACAACTGAATGAAAAGAGGAAATATTATTCTAACTATGCAGAGTCACCTCTTTTTAAAACATCCACAGTCCATACAGAGGTCTTGACTCTTAAGAATGCTAAATTACATTAACAGCCCAAAATGGCTTACCATGCCCTTATATGAATAAGCTTTTAATTTCCATTGATATTTTACTAAAACTCTCAATTTGACAGTCTATTATAAAACCATTCATATTTCAGAAAAAGCCAATTCCTAGAAACACCTATTTACTTTCCTGGTGTGTTCCAGTTACTTCTAGCTGATCTTCAGGACAGGCTCACAAGGTTTAGGTAAGTCCCATAACTTGTAATACTACTGCTTTGTGAAATTAATGCAACCTTAACAGATCAACTTTACTATGCTTTATACTAAAAATGAAGCAATTCCACAGAAGAACACTACCAAATTAAGAGTTTATATTACAAATCCATCAAGCTTTATTTGCAGGAAGTGAATATCCCTTCATTTAAAGCTTGAAAATTGATGCTATCGACATTTAGAAGAATATTTCTCAATGCTAAAGTTGCCACTATGTATATATAGTATGTTGCATAAGTGTAATTTAACTTGCACATTTTATTGTTTTAAAAAAGTCATATTTGAGAAGTTTAAAAAGTGGTTGCAAGCTGGTTTTGTAAAAAAGAAAAGGTAGAACAGTAACACAATGAAAGATGCAAGATGTTATAAGAGATCCACATTGCATGTCAAAAACAATGCATCAATAGATATTTGCAAATGATAGTTAAATTACTTTTTAATGATTTTCATCTTTGAAAAAATGCAAGTATTTTTCTAACACATAATACAACATTATCTCATAGCATAATATATACATTTAACTGAGTTTGCAATCAATAAATATAAAGTAACAACGAAAGTGACAGTACAAGTTTCTTTGTAGGTGAAACTAGGTGAAATAAATGGTATTACTAACTATTTGCTCAGCCAATTCTAACCAGCAGATCTTACCTTCAAGTTCTTGACATCACACATAAGTCAAAATCAAGCAGTAATATTTGTACAAATTGAAACTGCTTTAATCTCTGATCAGGAATCTATGTTCATATAGGCTGTTGCTGTCTACTATACAATAGAGACATCTTAATCTTCTCTTCTACAAAGTTAATGTGTTACACCAAAAGCAGCTGTTAATATCCAAGCAACTAGCTGTTGCTGCTTTTTCTGTCAATCTGTAGATTGACACCCCCACATTCTATAGGTATTAAAAAGGGGGAAAATAACAGTGAAGAAAATAATTCTCTGTACAATACACTGGATGGAAAACCATGCTGCACTTTATTCTGTTTCTGAAAATCATGCAATATGTTGAAATGGAAACCCAAATTTCTCCAGGTCAAAACTATCAAGTGCAATTATAACAATTTTGTCATCATACTCAGCCAGGCACAAGAGAGTGGAAAAAAACCCCTAACAAACAAACACCAAAAAACAGAAATCCCTACACCTTTAGAGGCATAAAAGATATATTCCCAGTCAGTAGGAACCTGTTCCTTCTTGAACCCTCTCAAAAAAAAAAAAAAAAAAAAAGTCAGCTCAATAACACTTTGTCCTTTAGATGAAAACAGAATTATCAACTACCACCTCAGAATGGCAACACTTGGAAGTGTAGCATAAACCCTTCATACAGTCACAAGAAAATTACAGCTTGGTAATATTTATCAGCATAGGCTAGTGGTTCCCAGGAAGAAAGCCTAAAAGTTATCTGCAAAAACCTTGCTTTTAACACACAGTAGAATAAATTACTGAGTAAAATCTGCACTTGTACCTCATGGTGCAAAACCTGCATTTTATAATAACAAAGTATTTGGCCTTGTGACACACCTAGAAGGAATTCAAATACAACACTGGTTTTTTGTTTGCAGCTTTGCACCATATGGTATAAACAAAAACTTAAAAAGCCACATAGTATACAGGATAGAGATAGCAAAATTTACATTCTAATATTCAAGATTAAAAGCTGTGCAGAAACCACAATTAGCAGACAGAACGACAGAGATTATTCATTAGGCATGGTAATATGATTAAGCCCAAACTACACCAATAAGTTAAAAACATATGGACACATTAAATAGCATGAAAATATAAACCTGAAAGCACAATTTATTAGAAAACAGCGTGGACAACCTTTATTTGTAGGGTAGCACAGTGTTTGTACTACAGGAACCAGGGATTAAGTCAGTCCCTATCACATTCAAATTTAGCATCTATTTAGTCAGAAAATTTGTCCAATATTATTTTAGAAGTAAAGCCTCTAAAGAGACAATAGCTATATGGCCTGTCCTTAACTATGAAGGTCTGTGTTCCTTTGCACAACATGTGTGGCCTAACTGTACCTGTAGGGTCACCTGCCCTTAATACCCTAACAAGGCTAAATGGCAACCTAAAGCATGTGAACACTGAACCTAAATACAACCTAAATTTATCTGCAAGTTTTAACTGGAACTTCACCAGTAGGTTTTTGAATTGTACTCCACAGATGAATCTGAAACTGGTTCATCTTTAAGTTGTAAGTAAAAACAAAGATGAAACAGAAGGCACTAAAAGAAAAGATGGGAAAACAGTTCAGGAGAGCAACAAAAAAAAACCTCCTAGCAAACATTTCTGTTTTCCTACTTGCCTGGTAACAGGCATCTGTTGGGGCAAGGGTGAAAGGAAGAACAGAAGAATCAACAGATTACTGCAACCAGCAGTAATGCAAATTCTTTCCACTTGTGGCATAGCTGGTACCATACCACGGCTTATGGGCCAAAGGACATTCTAAAGGAGCCAAATCTGAACACACCTGAGTATTCTGAATGACTGTGTTCTGAGGACAGAATTTGTGTAACAGTATTCCAATATCAAAGTTAGTACGAAGAAAAGAATTCCTTTAAACCAAAAAACTTAGAAGTTGAATACAAGATTTTTGAATTTTTTAAATAACTTGCACTAACTTCTACTGTCTAACAATCCTGAAACTGAAACAAATACTTTATAAAGAAATAAATAGTGCCTTTGTAAACCTGTGCACATAGATCAAGAGAATTTTTGAAAAGGGAACATTAAACCTGAAGAAAAGACAAGTCATAGCTTAAATCACCACTCTTCACTTTAAAATCCAAACTGTGTATCAAATAATACTCACCTTTTTTCCCCTCAGTAAATAACCTATTCCTGAAAGGCTTTGCTACAGGGGGGTAACTTAATGTTACCATTTAATACTGAATGGTTTCAGAACACACTGGTGTAAAGTTATTTTAAAATAGCTATGAAGTAATGGTCACAAGCCATATTCTCATAAAACCATTTGGGAAGAATTGCAAATAAAATAATAATGTGGCAATCTGCAATTGCATTAAGCTTTACAGAGGGGACAATAAATTACAGTGTGTGCTTTCTAAACGAAATCTCCTGAAACATAGTAAGTAGCTGAATGTTTTGTACCTTCCTCTGCTCTTGCACCTTCATGATCAGTCATTCTAGAAGAGGGTGACCTAGATTGATTAATGATTCCTGAAGGGATGTGGGGTATCTCATCATCGCCCAGATCAGCTATCATGTCGTGAAGTTTTGTCCTGTTGACTCCTGTAAATTAATGTCAGCAGCAAAGATTCATTTGATTGCTACCGCTTGACTTGACTGAAGTCTAAAAATCCATTAAACTAATTCAACAAGAATAATTTACTGATGGGACCTCCTTAAAATAAATAGGGCTTTGCTTTTGTTTATTAACATTTTGGAAACCAAAAGAATGATTTATTACATCAAATATGAAAACTACATGCAAACAATTTTAATGCACTAAATCAAAGCATAACTCCTTTGTGTTCTGTAGATCTATTCTACAATTTCCTGTAGGAGAGAAAAAAAATCATCTTACAACCCTTCTGAAAAGTCAAGCCAAATATTAAACGAACATTAACTATTAAACAAAAAACATTAATTAAACATTTGCTAATAATATTACACAAATTTAACTATAGTAAACAATTCAACACTGAAAAACAGAGTGCAAATTAAAAATAAGCTTAAACATGAGGGCAAAAGTACAGACAACCCATAATGGGGGTGCAACAAACAATTAACTTTCCCTGCTTTTGAATGGTATTTGAATTGCATAAAGTGTTTATTAAACACAAGAGCAAGAATGCTTCCACCACTGTATGAAACTGCAGGTGTATATTATGCTTATTATCAAAGCATCCTGAACTATATGTGCCTTTAATTAATTATGCAGACAATAGCAAAAAGATTAGTATGTGCTGGTTTTAAAGTATTTTAAAATTATTAAATTCATTCCTGTTTCCACCTTTACAGCTTGCCTATCAAGTCAAGCTTGAATCATGAAGTATATTTCAGGAACAGAATCTCTCTAAAGAAAACAATCCACAATGATGAAATGCATAACCAGCTTTTCATCAATAAAACTGTCCTTCCTGGGACTACAAGCAGAGATATTGGAGATCATTTAGCAAAGGAAGCACTGGGGAAGAAGTTCTTATACTCTGAGGTGACAAGTACCACTTTTATTAAAAAGGAAATTGAAACTAAAACAAAGCCCTTATTGTAAAAAACGTAAAAGGTAAATGCTATAATTACAGACAACTCAAAATCAGAGCTGTTCATTCAAACAGCTAAAAACTAAAACACACTCTTCCAAATAGGATCTGATTATTTCAGATCTTACTGGTTAAAACTGATGTATTCAAAAATACGTCTCTATAAATAATTGAATTCTCTAAAGATAACGGAGAATTCTCTGCAGAAGGATAACAAGAAAAATATTTCCTGAAGCAGAATCATAACAGAAGTATACCCACACACACCCCAAGAAGGATGCTATGTAATAATTCTCATTAATATTTGCAAAACGTTTTCATTTTGTCCAGTAATACAGAACTCTCTACAGCTGGTGTTGTTTGTGCTTTTGATGTTCTTTACTTCCTTGACAGAAAACTCACTATTCCAATTAAATCTACATAGGCTGCTACCCAGAAGCTGTTTGAGAATAAAAATGGATTCCTAACATTCCCCTCACGCAACAGAACAGGTGGCTTGAGTGGTTACATTTCATTTCACTCTCATGTAGGTCTAGGAACTTGTGATCTCAGTTGATGAAGTGAGTGTAAAATAATAAAAGTGAGGAAAGTCTTTTCTGAACCAACATTTTTTTACTAATAGCCACCACACGGACAGGATTTCATTTCAAAGGTACAATACTTGACTGCAGCCAGCAGGTGAGATCTCGTAAGAAAAGTCACCCTTAAAATGGCCAGTTCTCTACCATACAGACCATGAAGCTTGCTTTTGTCTTTATTCCAGCTGACCACTTGTTTTACAGTGACCAGCAGCAGATACATTCCTGAAGATATTATAGAGCAATCAATGAATGACATGATAAAAAGTCATGATTGGTACCCTAAACTATATAATTTAATAAACCCTTTCCTTCCCAGAAGAAAACCCCATTATCTTCTCCATGTTGAGATGCATGACTTGTTCAACACATTGATGGAAAATGCCAAATATGGCTTACAAGCTGTTACTAATACCCAGATCAAAAGCATCCTTCAGAGGTGCTTCCACACCAAACATATGGGCATGAGAAATCTGTCTCAAAGCATACTCAGCAGTAGCTCCCCTATTCTGCTACCTTTAACCAGCCACTCATTTAGGTTGTCACTAATTAGGGGACTGACAGACTTGCCTTATAATGTTTTTCAGTATGTTTAGGCACATCTCATCCTTCAGGCATAACCTCTGAACAGTCCTCAATCCATCATACAACAGAGATGCCCACAGAAGAGCAGCTGCTGTTGTCAACATTTTCAGCTGAAAAAGTCAATATTCAAGATTGTGCCACCACTACAGAAGACTGCACAGATTTCTGCTTCCAAGAAAGTGCAAGCCGACTTGATAAACTACTGAAGTATTTTAAATCTTACAAAGAGATTTGAAAAGAAAAGAATGTACTGTCTCTGCATAAGTAGCTATGTTCAAGGCACAAACTTGATGATTGTGTTTTACCCTCAAAAAAGACTAGGACAAAAAAACCTAACCACAAACCCATTATGAACAAAAGCAGAACACCTACAATACCATCTCAGTATATGCCTTCAGAGATTAAAAGTGAAAAAGGTAATTGAATATTCAATGCTGAAAAGTTGTAGTGTGAGAAGCCATAAGCAGATTTCTAATAACTCCAAGATGTAATAGCCCAAGTCTGAATATAACACAGGGATCCTTGTCTACGAAGAACAGGTGAGAGATGGTAAAATTCAGATCTGGTTTAATGCCTATCAACTATTACACTGTATTTCAGGCTAGCAAGTGAAGGGGATGTAATTATTCTGTATTTATGAAACAGTATCCACAGAGGGAAAAGAGCAGCAAAGTAAAAAAAGATGTGAAAAGTTTAAAGAAAACTAAGGAAAAACAGTATAAGCATCTTTGTTTCAAGAGTGATGCACACATACATTTTAAGATGTGAAAACTATTTTTCCAATTGCTGAGAATGTCTGATAGTATGAAATGGTATGCAACACCTCCACTATTCTGTCCTGCAAATAGGAAAAACAGTCATCCCGGGATTTACCTGCCAAAATGGATCTTGTCAAGTCTGGGCAAGAAACTGGCCTTAAATTCAGCATATTACTGTAAAAGGGAAGCCTGGTTTTATAAAAATCAAACTTAATTCCTTATTTATTTATCACAGTAAGTCCAGAGTAAGCTGTGGTTTGCTTTTCTCTGTGTGGTTTTTTTTTTTTTTTAAATATAAGAGCTCTTCAATACACAGGCTTTGGGTTATTTTACAGCTGATATTGTAATAGAAATTGAAGTGTGTGTTGGTGGATTTTTGTCCTTGTTTTGGTGGATTTTTTTAAACATCCTTTCATAAAGGGATAGTATTTTTACATAACAACAACTGACACCTCCTCCCTCCCCGCCCCAAAAAGAGTATTGCAGTATGCAAACCTGATGTGCTCATAGAAGATGACCTAAAATAAGGTATTCTAGCCAAAAGAAAATATATGGATACACACTAGAGAAGTATCAAAACTGAATCAGTTCTACTTCTGTTCATTTATTTATGCCTACAACTGGAATGAATATTTCCATACCTGGGGCCAGGGCTATGAATAGTCTGTTATTTTACCATCTAAATGCAGCTTATGGTAGTTACCAGATGCATATCCAATGAAAGAACCCAAAAGAATGTCTGTCCTATTATGCTGTCTTCAAAGTATTACAAGAGATGACAGTTAATGAACATTTGTTTGATGTTTATGATGATATATATATAATAGATATATATATATACACACACTACATGTACATAAGTTCTGATAGGGCTCAAAATAAATTCTGATAGAAGTCTGACAAAACACTGAAGAGCAAAGGAAGAGATGAGTATTCACAAAGAAGCTGACAAATGATCAGACATGAGAAGCAGGAATAAAGAAGACCTTCAATATTATTTTCAGTCTCAAAGTTAAAAAGCTGAGAAAAAAAAGTCTACAAATCAAACAATGTAAATAAAGCTGCCCAGCCTTGACTGCATACTTCACTCTGTGTGGAGCTCTCTCATTCAATTAGCTCAGTGATTTAGAGGCCAATGTTTAATCAGAAACTACCACCATGAATGTGACAAGAAAAGAATCTCACAAACCCTCTTGTGAGACTATATATGAGCTCAGAATTTCCCAAAGAACTTAAAACCCAAAATGCTAAACATTGACTTACTTGACCTCACAACACAGCTCTCTCCTAAATATTATGTGAACATAAGATTTCAAAATTGCTTTAGATGAAGAAAATAAGAACATTTTCTGTTATTTTACAGCCACTGTGCTTCCAAAAGTCTAAAATGTGAAGTTTAATAAGAAAATTTCTAATAAAACAAGTCCATTATAGTATTAAAAAACATCCTAACCCTACAAAATACTTCATGTGAATTTGGTGTCAACTGCTGACTTGCAGGTTAAATGAGACCCATTAGCATGCAGGTTACTACTAAGCTCTAATCCAACCAGGCTGGGTCAAAATCTTTGTTGCAAACATTTTATATTTGCGTGCGCAAGTCATGCAAAATTGCTGAAAAAATTGCTGAAAAAAACATGCACTAACTCTGAATGGTAATTGTTAGATGTTACAAAGTAAATTCAAATCTTGCAATTACACAAGTCTTTATGAAGTGTTATATTTTAATTATCACTTAATTTAGTTACTATATAGCCACACTTTTCAAACTGAGGAAGAGGTTTTTATTATTATTCACCAAAAACTGTTAAAATATACTTTCAAAACAAAAACACGGCAATCAAGGAAGCTTTCCTAAAGCCACATGGGATGCCACCCAGAGGAACCTGGACAAGCTGGAGAAATGGGCCCATGGGAATCTCATGAGGTTTAACAAGACCAAAGGCAAGGGACCACATCTGAGTCAAAGCAACCCCCAGTATCAATACAGGCTGAGGATGAACAGATCTAATGCAGCATTTGCAGAGAACTTGGGGATGGGATGCTTGTGGATGAGAGGCTGGACAAGAGCCAGCAATGCACACTTGCAGGCCAGAAAGCCAATTGTACCCTGGGCTGTATCACATGAAGTGGGCTGCAGGTTGAGGGACCTGATTCTGCCCTTCTACTCCTCTCTGGTGAGAGCCCATCTGGAGTACTGCATCCAGCTCTGGGGCTCCCAGCACAGAAAGGACATGAATCTGTTGGAGTGAGACCAGAGCAGGACCACCAAGATGATCAGAGGAATGGAGCACCTCTCCTGTAAGGAAAGGCTAAGAGAATTTGGATTGTTCTGCCTGGAAAAGAGGAGGCTTTGGGGGTGACCTAATTGGGACCTCCTAGTACCTGCAGGGAGCCTACAAGAAAGAGGGACAGAGACTATTTACAAAGTCATGTAGAGACAGGACAAGGGAATGGTTTCAAACTGAAAGAGAGTATGTTTAGACTAGAGATTAGGAGGAAATTCTTCACTGTGAGGGTGGTGAGGTGCTGGCACAGGTTGCCCAGAGAAGTTGTAGATGCCTCATCCCTGGAAGTGTTCAAGGCCAGGCTGGATGGGGCTATGAGCAACCCGACCACAACAGAGGGGTTGGAACTAGATGACCTGAAGCCCAACCTATTCTATGATGACATAGATTTAATAACAATTTATCCACTAAGAGCTTTGTATAGTTGATAACAATTTCCAAAAGCAGTTTTACCAGGTAGTTCAATACTGAAGTTTGGTTTAACTTATATAGTTGTAATAGGTCAACTGGACAAACAACTCTTAAAGAAAAAAACAGTGTCAACCAAAATGTGATAAATGCACAGAAAAGTGAAGGGCACTATAAAATAAAGACTATATCCTAAACAAATCCAACAAAAAGTTCATATTTATGTTATGTTTTAATTCTCAATGCCTAGGATTGTAAAAATAACTACAAGCCCATAAAAAGAAATTATAGCTTGATTCAAGCTCATATTAAAAAAAAGGCACAAAAAAAAACCCAACTCCACTCCCCTCCCCTCAAAAAAGAAACAACCACCCCTCCCCAAACTGTACCACCATATTATACTTTAAGAAATCTATTTCAGAAAACTTCTCAGAGAAGGTGTATCCTCAAAATATAAGTTGTTCATTATTTTTACACTCACGTTTCAAGACATTTACTTCTCTTCACCTATTTAACCTTGAATTTATATGTTCTCAACATTTCTCATTTAGGAAATGGCTGTCAAAGGTTTTGACATTCACATTCAGCAGGTAGAAAGTTAAAGTTGGTTGCCCCCATTACAGAAAATGATGCTTAATGAAAAAAACAAAAACACAACTTGTGAGAAAAAATGTCTTCTATATAGATAGGCAAAAAAGTGTTGCATTACAAGATTCAGAATCTGCACTTACTCTTTACCCCTTTCTTCCCCTTTCGTTCCTTCTTGTACTGTTCCTTCAGTTTACTTATTAGTCCCTGGTCTACATCCCAAACCTCAGCAGTTGGGGACAGGTCATCTTTGTCTACATGCAGCATATTATTAAAAGAAAAAAAATCAGCAATTGGCAATGCAAGCTGTTGGTGATTTACTATCATAGCTGTATAAAAGCATTAATAAAAGTTATTAATAAATCTTTAAAGGTGCAGTCTCAGTTTAAGTTTACAAAAGACTCAGTCTCATTTCATACAGTTTTCCAAGGCACTGTATATTACCAGTTACATATTTGAAAATTGTATGTTAATTTGTTACTAAGAAGCAAACAAATTAAGCTTTGTAAGTTTACGTTAGATACTTAAAAATACACAAAAATTCAGTGGTATTGAGAAACAATTACTGCATCTTTAGAAAGACAGTGTCAAGAAATTATTCAGCCAGTGTTGAATAAGCAAACAAAAGTATTCATGCTATATCTCTCATGAAATGCAAGCCAAGTAAGTCAGTGTCAGTTTATTCATGAAGACCACCATGCATCCTTTCACATTCATTCTACATGCACAAGAAAGAAACCTTGGTCCTACATGTAACCAGAGAAACAAGTCTATAAATAGAAGTTTTTTATGTAAAGATGAAGAAAATTAATTCACACAGGTGACTATCCCACTGCATTCCAGAAATGAAATTATAATTAGCATTAATACAACAGTCCACGGTAGTTTCAGAAGACATGTCTTTTTTTCTGCTTGACAATCATTGCAGAGTTAATTATTCTTTATGAAAAGTCAAGTTTCCACTTTTCTAAACTATCCATCTCAAACATTTTTGGAAACTCAGAATTAGTAAAAGGATAAACTTGTTTCTAAGACAAGGCCACCATAACATCTGCAGAAGCACTTTTGCTAACAGGCAACTAGGCAGCAATCAAACTTGGTTTGTGTGCCAGTTGAGCTTTATTTTCACAAATTCCCTGGGCATAAGATAATAAAGCCTAGTTCCTCAGTTCTCAGCTTCCAATCATACCTACAATATGATTGCACCAATTTTTGAAGTTACAATCATAAAAGTGCACAAGAGGAGTCATACACTGCAGAAACAAAGAAACATGCATTTAGGGTGCAAAACGGTAGGAGTTATTCCAAGTACATGTTTCATGACAAAACATGACAACGAATGAGCGAACAGATATCGAAAGATGCTGATGCATCTACCATCATTTAGATAGGGCTAATCAATAACAAAGAGAAACAATCTTGATCAAAGAGGTGGAATATAGAAATGGTAAGGGTGGTGAAGGCATGAAACAGGCAGCATAATCGCAGAGTCCTCTGAGTTGTCCACAAAGAACTGTGGAGAGGAGAAGGGAACAATGACATCTTACACCAAACTGCAGCTAAAACTACCAAACTGCAAACACAAAGACCTCAATTACTGGGCCAAAACACTGACAGAGAGGAATAGTGATTAGTCAGGAAACACAAGAGGCACAGAAAGATAAGTAAGAGGATATGCCCAATCAAAAGAGGAAGGAAATTGGGGGGGAAAACCCAACCAAAAAAAAACCCAGAAGAAAACCCCTAAAACTCAAAGGAAATTCAGTTAAAATAAACTTAAATAAATTTTTACAATCCCCAAAGCACTATTTATAAAATGAAAATAATCAGCTAGGTTGCAGCGTTTCAGAGAAGTATTAGGGAATTAAACTGAACCAGAAGCGGACTATGTGTAACAGCAACATAATGCTGCTGTAAAAAAAGCCATTTTGGTATGTTTTAAAAGGTGCAGTGACTAAACCAGGAGAAGTCCATCTATTTCAGTGCAGGTGATGACAAAACTGAAAAAATATATTCAATCTGTGTCCTACAGTGGAAATTTAGAAAATGCCTGAGTGCAAAACAAATAGGGCATTAAATATAAAGACAAACAATTTGAAGGGACTGGGCTCATTCAGTCAACAGAAAACAGGAAAAGCACAAGCCTGCAAACATGAATATTCAAAACCAACTCTACTGTCTGCTGAAATGGAAGCTGTAAATAGAAAACTAGATAAAACACCGATTCTGGTTATCTGGGGGGGCTGTGAAATTAATTTCGATTAAGATTTTTAGCAAAACCCAGCAGTGCTTCCCTCAGGTATGCCTAAAAAGCCTGTCAGAACAGAGCCATGTAACTAGATCTGCCTCAATCTCCCTGCAGTGCTTACAACCCACACCAAGCTGACACCAGGACAGTGCACAGAATCCAGGATGCCAACTAACCAGTATCACTTAGTGGAGAAAGGCTGGGGGTTTTGTGTGTGTTTTCTGGTTTGGAGTGGATTTTTGTTTGCTTGGTTTTGTTGTTGTTGTGTTTGGGTTTTTGTTTGTTTGTGTTTTTAAAAAATGTTTAGAAGATGACCCAAGAGACTGAATTCCAGTCACTCTGTGACCCAGATTTCTGGGCACAGTCAGTAATTCTCTGACTCATGGTCCATCTGTAAACAGAACTTGTGTTTCATAAAGAGAAATCCAGTGATGAAAACATAGTTAGTCATTGAAACCACAAGCAAAACAAAGAACTACATAATGTTACATCTGTAATATGTAATACAGTATATAACAATGTGTTTATTCCTGTTTGCTTAAGCAAACTGAAGTTATATATGCATATTTTTCTTGATACTATATTACCACAGAGCATTTATGAATTTTTAATCTAAAGCTGTGCATTTTTTTTAGTGTGTCACATGCTTTAACTCTTTATTGAACACTGTTTGAACTTGCTTATCTTTCACTATTTTGAAGATAAGCTGTTTCTTGGCAAAACATGTCACAGGACAGAACACATTATTTTCAAACACAGCGATTTAATAGCCAAAGTATGTTAACCGTGGCACGTAGAAAAAAAATAATGTGTTCATAAAAAGCCATATCATAGGAAGGAAAGCAGGCCAAACTTCTCAGCACTCAATGGCTGGTTTGCAGAAGTCTCCAATGGTAAAAATGTAACTATCAAATTTGGCAATTAAATATTTTTGCATATTAGAAGTTGGTTCTACAGATACTTTGACAGTTAAATACTGAAAATAATTACAAAACAAGGCCAGGCAGTATGTTTAAAGCCTAGACATCAGAAGTTTGGCTTCCAGATACTACATAAGAGTATTATAAATAGACAGAGACAAACATCCACATTTTTTAAATAGCGCCTACATCTTTGCAAGAATAAGAAGTGATGGAAGGACTAATGACAGGAAAACTAATACAGGAAGAAAAAAATCCATATGAAAAACAGAGCAACTATTATATTATAAAGAAAAATCTGAATTTTAGCTGAAATACTGAAGTTCGTGGTTGACGCAATTGTGTAGAAAGTAATGGTAAGTGTTCATTTAAATGAAGCTCCCTTTCAAAACAAATAACTAAATGGATGGACCTGGACATTTCAAGTAACAGCTTCATAGAGGTCAAAATAATGTGACAGACTGAAATAAATTGGTTTAGGCAATGTATTATTTTATTTTAGAAAGCATTTAAGTGGGACAATATTTAAAATGTTATTTGTGACAGGTAATAAAGAAGTATTGTCATATTTACATGCTGAGCTTTAAAAAAAAGTAACACTTAATCCCAAGATCTGATAGACTATCCTCAGACATCCACTTAAGGAAAGAACAGCTGTACTAAGACCAGCGACATACTGTGAAAAAAATACTGCTACTACAATTGGTAGTATGTCTTTGACTCATTTAAATAGTAAGTTAGCATAAATATACAACAAACTTATGGATGTTGTTTTCATATGGCCAAACTTAGAACATACAGTTTCTAAGATGAAAGTAGGTTTATGTTTATTTCTTCCTTCCCATTTCCTTGTCTCAGACATGAGTTTTTTTGTGACAATAAAATTACTGCAGTTAAATCACTTATCACCCAAACACTGTCACAAGTGTGTACAAACTCCTAAAATGCTCTGCCTCACTTTTGCTCTGGGTTCACTTAAACTGTAATAAAAAGACATTCAAACTGCTCCATGGAAAGTGTGGTGGGTCAATTTGACTTTTAAAATAGACCTTAAAATTGGGTAATGACCTGAGATGCTGACAGAGATTGAACACACTGGAAAATAATCTTGGGAAACAATGACCTGGAATTACAATGAACAAGCTAGTTCAATACACTAAGTTTCAGCAGTCTGCTGTGAAAAAAAAAAAAAAGAACAAATCTATGACTGCATGAATTACAGCATCAAGCTATCTCTCCTTCTATATATACAGTAGTGGTAAGACTGATGATAGAACCAGAACTTTCTGCATCACCATACATTTGAAGGGATCTCAGGTTTAATGAGATATCTTACACCAAGAGATTTGACTGTGTGGCGAAATAAAAAGATGATGAAGAAACTGATCAAATAACACCAACTTCAAACAGGAACACCACCAAGCAACTAAAATGCTACTGAAAATAGGCAGTTATTACCAAATGTAAAGGTAAGTTTGTTTTGCTTCATCTTCCAACTAGAAATAAGACTGAGTTGTAAAAGAAAATGTGACTAACCCTTTGATACAAGTTTTCAGGAAGGAATTGCTTCCTAACCCTTGGTACCTTCCAAATCAAGACAATTATTTTCCTGAAAGATGTGGCAGTATTTTAATTTCTGTACATCTCTCATATGCTCTTTGGTCACTAAGGTGTTTATTCAATTATGACTTAACTGTCTCAATAACAAAATAGTCAAACAAGATGACCTAGTGGCACTTTTTGGGCTTACAAGTAAAGCCAGTATGCAACCACAGAACTGCCTGTGGCACACAGGTCAGAAGAAGAGATAGCAAATTTTCCATTTCAAAGCAGATATAAATTACTTGAGTCCCTATTCTTTTTCCTACAGAAATTTTCTCCTTCTTTCAATTTCTTCTTTTGAAGCAAGTAAGTTCCAGGAGTTTGACTAAACATATTTTGTTTCACATCTAATTACTAATAAAAAGTCAGGCTATTACATAAGTTGGTTTTGGGGTATTTTTTTCCCTAATGCAAGCCATATTAGCAACAACATCTAAAAATACTAATTGTCCATTTTGAAGTACATCGAAGTAGTTCATTTAACCTAAGCACAAGTAGTTTAAAGGTACTGATAATAAATAAATGGGGGGGGGAGGGGGAGGGGGAGAGGAAATCTCTATTTGAAAGCAAATTTAATCCAGATGTAAAAATACTCAGAATCCTAGCTTTTCTTACCTAAGAAAGAAAATATTTTCCTCTTAGTTTTGGCATCAAAAACAAAACCTGAAACAAATATAACTATACTTGTATCTGTGGCAGCTACAACAGCATATATAAACACATGAAAGTTTCAGCACCGTTTTCTAAGCATCAAAATCTGATCATGACAATCATCCACACATCCACACCACTTTAGTAGGTATTGCAACTCATGTACTATCATGAACAAGTATTCCCTTATTTCTAAATGCTTTTGTTTGCATCTTACCCCACTCTGTTCCATCTCCTGAACTTCGAGCTTCTCCAGCTCCCTCACCATCTTCAGCTGTCACTAAAAAGTCAAATTCTTTCAAAGCTTCTTCAGTATCAGGATCATCTGTAAGGTCAGCAGCTAAACCTTCATTACCAATCTGTAAGCAGATAAACATTTTTCTACATTTGAATCATGAACAGATTTTCTGGTCATTTAGTTTAGAAGAGATAGATCACTCTAAGTAACTGGTTGCAGGGGAAAACATTTTTCAACATGAAGTGCAGAAAAGGACACTTAGACCTCAGCTGGTTCATTAAAAAAAAATTTAAAAAAAAGAGAACAGTGCAGTCTAGTGATCATTAGGAAATACAAAGAACACTGACACTAGCTTTAGCAACGAAAACAATTCCATAATCCCAGTCTTCGCTTTTTTAAGTAACCCAAAAGAATTAGAAAACTGTTGATTTTCCTGCACTATCAACAGCTCTGCAGAGAAGCTTTCCAAACTGTTTTCTACTGGTCCAGAAGCCTTTTTTCCTTCTTGCTTTTCAGTTCTATTTCAGTGTTAAACATACGCTTGGAAAACTCTGCGTTTTCTGAGAAATGTCTTTTTACTAGTTCTGCCACCTCCTTCACCTTAAACAAAACAAACCATCGCCCTACCAAGGCATCAGTGAAGTTTTATTTCATTATTCAGGTGAGGAAAATTTCAGCAAAGGGTTGTTCTTCTGTTATTTACACAATATTCTTACTTTTGTAAAAGAGACAATTTTTATAAAGATAACTATAAATGATCCTTCTAATTTCTATAAAAACTAAGCTCTGTCAAAAGCCAAAAAGTGAGTGTTATGTCTTCATATGTGCTTCAAGATTTGCTAAGTAGATAACCTTTTCATCAGATTATCTACTGCCATAGAACAAAAGAGATTCAACTGATTGCTCAATCTGTTTGCCAGAAATAAGTTACTACCAAAGGTATGGTGGAAAACCCCTCCTGACAAGTCAAATTGGGATTAAGGCTTGGATCAAGCCAAGCTAATGCTGCCAACTATTTAAAAAAATTCAGTGCAGCCATGTCATCATGTTAGAGAACACTGTGCTGAGCAAAAAGAAACCCCAATGATGGGGAGACTGTTTCAGTACAGGAGAAAAAGAACTAAAAAGGGACAGGCAACATAGTCCCCACCTAGAAAGCTGCTCACAGAATGGAAATACAAAGAGAAGAATAAAACAGAAAAAACCTTAATTAAACCTTAAACAAAATGTTATTTGAGACAAGTCTAGGCTCTTAACATACTTAGGGAAAAACTGCCTAAAAGGAAGAATTAAAACATGCATTTGGTACAAAGCTAATTTTTTTTTCACATTACAGAACCTAATTTCTCCTAAGGAACTGTCCCTCCCTCCTCCAAAGTCAGAAATCGCATTGTGCTAAATTTGCCTCATAAAGGGACTCAGAGTATTCAGAGAACCTGAGATGGCCACTTCATCACTTAAATCACATTTGCAAACAGGCTGTTGGTTGTTTTTAAGTTCTCAATGTAATAAATTAACCTAACCACCAAATTTACTAGTAACACATCTGCTTATGACCCATTCATATAACAAAAGTGCAACAAACACTTTAACATTACACATGTATAATCATCTGGGGGGGAAAAATAATCCCTTTTTAAAAGGGAATTTCAGATCTATTAAAAAAACAAATTTATGAAGTCTTTTACTTTGTGTTTCTTATTTATCCGATGCTTTTCTTTTCCTTCTGCAATATCTTCTATCATGTCGTTCTCCTCCTCTTCATCACTATCATCAGCATTTTCTAGGAAGTTAAATGTTTCAAGAACATCACCAGAATTCCTACATAAATAAAAACATTAAGAGAGAAGCCGTTTTACTAGCTGAATTGATTTAGAAGATTAACCAGATTAAATGCAATTGCTACCTGACAGCTTAAGAGCTTTAAAATTAGAGAAACAAGAAATGCTTGTACGAAGAAATTTCTACAGCTGCCCAAGGTCTTACTACAAAAGCACCACCCAACAGAATACTTAAAATGACATCTCCAGAGTGGCAATATGACATAATTCAGCTTCAATACACTATTTTCCTGTATGTATTTGTATAATATACATATGTATGGCACAGATGCATACGTTCCTACGTATATCAATCAAGCAAGTTCATAACCATTTGTGGTCAGCTACACTCACAGGTGTTCAAAGACTCTCCAGCTGGAAGTTCAATTTGAACTGACCAGTACATATCAATGACTTAGCAAAACATATTTAACTTTTATGCATTTCTTATCTTTTCACTTACCTTTTGATTTCCTGTCCCTTTTGTTTTGACGAAGGTGATTCACCCCCATTCAAGATCTGTTCCAAGTTCTTTGTCTCTACTGAACCATTTGGCTCAGAATTGGAGAGCCCAAGCAATGACCTTACCCGCTGGGAGCGAACATCCAATATTGTATCTGTATAACCTACTTCCTGAAGATACCTAAATTCATTAAGATAAGAAAGAGGAAAGCATATTTGAGGAAAAATGAAAGGACTTAGCATTCAATGTTAAAAATGAATGCCACTGTTATAATATTTACGGAAAAATAAGCTTCATCGCTATGCATCTCTTATGGAAAATTTACTGCTTAAAGCTCAAGACTACAAAGTCCTGAAAAATGAACCACTATTTGCCCACCTCAATTCCTCTGTTTCACAGAATAAGCACATTTACAGCTCCTCATCCGGCACGGAAATACTTGAATATACCAATACTGAACAATGTTACTTACTGTCGTAGTAACTGTCTGCCTTGCTTCCAGGTCAATTGGCTATTCTGAGGTACTGCAGGAACCTCTGTATCTTTGGTATCTTCTGAAAGATACAACGTCATAGTTAACATCTAACTTACATTGCTTTTAAATGCAAATGAAAATTCTCATCAAGCAAGAAATATGAATCATATCTCTAATTTCAACTGGGTATAAAAGTACCCAAAATGTGGCACTTGTAAAACAGAAGGGAAAAAAAGGGGAGGAGGGGGTATATAGATCTATAACCACAATTTTCAGGCACACTACAAATACAGGCCAACAGTGTGACTTCCCGAAGACCAACATATTTCAAAAGAAGCCAAACAATTCTGCTTATTAAATAGCCCCGTGTTATGAGAAATGCTGTCCTCTATCTGCAATATTCTGAAATGAAAAAGTGTTATTATCAACTTGGCATTTACAATGCAAAATCAGATGCACTCCAGGGAGTTTGATTTAAAATAAAAACTGAAGCTAAACAACTTTTTTTTGAGGCCAATGCAGTACCCTTCCCATCCCCCTTATTGCTTACACACTAGAATTCTATAAAAGTACCAAATTCTGACAGTATTTCTTATTCTACACTTATGCTTTTCTTCTGGATTGATGGCACAATGGCCACTAAACAATAATACCTCCTCTTGAAGGACTTAAAAGAAATAATGAGAAACAGCACATAAATTAGGAATCATAACCGTATTTAAAGCTTTCTTTGACATTCAGAGTTCCTTCAAAAAGGAAAGGTCAATTAATTTTAATTTTCAGATGACATATTCACCCAGTGTCAAACCTTTCCTAGATATATTCCCTATATCAGACCTAAGAGGGGTGAGGGGAAAGATGGAAAGCTTGCAATGAACAGACCAAATCTAGAACGCTGTATAAACAAGCAATAGTAGAACAGGCCATTGTAAAAAAAGTTACCTGATTCAAAAGTTGGCATTTTCAAGTCACCTTGGTTCAATTCTGTGCCGTACTTTAATTTATGGTATTTTGCCCTGAAAAAGTATGCAGGTGCTTAACAAATTAGCATACAATGTTTTCATCAACTCAAACATTCTACTATTCCCATGGAAACAGCCATACCAACACAGTACAACTAATTCAAATAAAACTGTTGTGATAATTATTGCATCATATCTTTAAAAAACTCTTGTTTTGAGATAACATTTTACAATTATGTACAATTATTATCCACGATTATAAGATAACTTACAGATGAGATTTCAGTATGTTCTCTAAGGATGGGTTTTTTCATGTATATCAGCTAATAAGAGAACTTTTCAAAAACCAGTAGGTTCAACTGTTTAGTAGAGATGATCTTTTCAGTTCTATCAAAGTCACAGCAAGCCAACCACACTAACAACAAATGAACCTCTTACTTGGGATACCTGTCACTTTCACTTCCTCTCCTGCCTTGTCTTTGCTTAGGATACTCATCTTCCCCTCTAAAGAACCATGTTAGAGTGTTAAGTTTCTCTCATCACATGTATTAACTTATTGATTTTCTCCTCCTCATTGACTGGAGGCTTAGCTTTCAATTCCTGCTTAG